AGCCCCGGGAGCGCGCCCTGCCAGCCCGGGAGCGCGCCCTGCCATCCCGGGAGCGCGCCCTGCCATCCCGGGAGCGCGCCCTGCAGCCCGGGAACGCGCCCTGCAGCCCCGGGAGCGCGCCCTGCAGCCCCGGGAGCGCGCCCTGCAGCCCGTGTTTCCAGGCGCACAGCCAGGGCTGAACCAGCCACCTCCCGTCCCCGCAGCCAGGGCAGGGCGCTGTGTGTGTGTGTCCCTGGGTGACACGTCGAGGCACAGCAGCTCCACCGAGACCTTCCCGGGGTGTCCCCGAGGGGCTCGACTCCTCCTGCGTGTCCTCGAGGTGCTGCTCCCCGGGGAAAGGGCTGGGTGCTTGTCCCAGGGAGAGGCACCTGCAGAAAGCACAGACCCCCCCCACCCCTCCGGTGGGATTCCCCTCTCAGGTACTCTCCCATGGAGGTGGCACTGCTCCAGGAGAAGCTGAGCAGGCTGGAAGGGCTCCAGCGTGGATGGCACCTGCCTGACCCCCTGTCAGGAGCAGGGGAATTGGCTCCTCTGCACCTGCTCTGCATCCCCACACATCCCCCTGCCTCTGCTGCCTGTGGGCCCTGTGGATCCTGAGATGCCCCCAGCTTGAGAAGTCCCCTGGGATGGCCCCTGGCAGAGAGGGGCAAGAGGAGCCTGGCAGGAAGGCTGGTGTTCACAGCCCCATCCCACCAGCCCAGACCCGAGGATGGGGGGAGCACCTTCCTGCTGCTTCCCCAGCAGAGCTCATCCCACCGGGCAGAGGAAGGACTGCTAGGAAACTCATGTTCTCCTCCATTTCTGGTGCAGAGACATGTCCTTGCCAGGGCCTCCCCAGTCCTGTGACCCTGCTCCACACCACCCAGCTTTACTGTGCACGTCTTTGTCACCCTTGCCTTGTGTGGCCAGTAAGGAAGGGACCTCTGGAGATCACCTAGTCCCACCACCTGCTAAAGCAGGTTCACCAAGAGCAGGCTGCACAGGATAGTGTCCCAGCAGGTTTTGGATATCTCCAGAGAAGGAGACTCCACACCCTCTCTGGGGAGCCTGTTCCAGTGCTCTGTCACCCTTAAAGACAAGAAGTTTTTCCTCATGTTCAGGTGGAACTTCCCATGTTCCAGCTTGTGTCCATTGCCCCTTGTCCTGTCTCTGGGCACCACTGAGAAGAGCCTGGCCCCATCCTCCTGACACCCCCCTTTTAGATATTTAAAAGCCTTAATAAGATCCCTCTTAGTCTTCTCTTTGCCAGTCTGAACAGACTCAGGTCTCTCAGCCTTCCCTTGTAAGAGAGATGCTCCAGTCCCTTAATCATCTTTGAACCATATCTGGGAAAACAGGTTCTGCCTCCCAAAGCAGCCTCTGATCCATGGAAAGCCTCCAGCCAGACCCCTTGAAGCTCCCCCAGGCTGAGCCAGGGCATCTCTTTGGTCTCCTCAGAAAGGACACAGCTCCTGAGAAAGCTTCTTGCAGAGCCCATTCCCTTCCTGGTGGGGTCAGCCAGGGTTTGCCACTTCTCCCCTGCACCTGGGCAAGCTCAGGGCTGGCAGCTCACAGGCAGGGACACGTCCTGCTCTCCAACCAAACCTGTCAAGCCCCACGGGGCTGCCTTGCAGGTCAGCAGCTGAATCACTTCTTTCTAGTTTCGTGCCTGCTGGAGCAAATCTGTAGCACAAGGGCTTGTCTGAGCATCCTGTGCTCATTGTCCTGGCAGAAAATTAACCTTCTGGTGGCTGCCCCTCCCCTCCAGCCCATTAGCCAAGTTGCTGTGATGAGCAGGGCACAGCCAGGCTGGTGGTGGCCCTGGGGACCTTGTGAGGTGCCCTGTGTGATTAGCCTGGGAGAGCAGGGGCGTGGGGTGTTGCAAAGAGATGATTGCAGGGTTCAAACACGGGCCTGGAGACCACAGAGCCTGGAGGAGCAAGCTCATCTCCCACGGGTGCTCACGCCCTGACGAGCAGGTTCAGTTGCTGGGACATCCCTTACACCCCATCAGGCACAGGGGCTGGGCTGAGGGGTCACGGAGCCAGGAGCTGAGCCCTGCTGCAGGCAGAGGGAAGGATGGTCCTCCCAGAGCAGCGTCTTGGATCAGCACTCCCAGTGGGCTGAGGAGGGTGAGCTCATGTTCCCATGCCTTCCAGCTGGGAAAGGCACAGGAGCAGCAAACCCTGGAGATCAAGCAGCATGCAGTGAGCATCACACAGCTCTCAGGCTCTGGGGGAACACACACAGCAGTCCAAAAGCCACAGCTGCCACTGGGAGAGGATCTTTACAAACCTCCAGGAATCCCTGCCTGATAACATTTGGGAAATGCAAACCAGATTTGGAGGGTGGTATTTCTGCATCCGGCATCCCAGGGCAGACGTCACGAGCAGAGCCTGCAACACAGATGCTGGCAGAGCAGGGACAGCAGCTGGGGGCTGTCTGTCTGCAGAGGGGTTATCAGGAGCAGCAGGAAGGAAAAGGGGAGAAGGAGCTGCCACAGACTCCACCTCAGTCCATCTGCTGCTGCTCCACTCAAACTCCTCTCTCTCTGTGACAGGTCCAGACCTTGGGCTGCCTTCCAGTGACTGCTCAGAGAGCAAACCAGGCTCAGGTTGTGTTTATTTTGCCTGAATGGGGCAAGATGAGGTCACTCGGGTTTGAGGTCCCGTGAAACAGCCATCAGATGGCAATGGCATCTGGCTCCTGGTGGCCTCAGCTGATCTGACCCCACTCCATGCCCTCCCACCACCTGGATCCTGCAGTTGGCCAGCAGGAAGGAGCCCCGTGTGAACTTCACATCCCTGTGGGAGGGTATCAGCCTTCATGGACAAGGCAGATGCCACCAGACCTGCTACCCCAGGAGCACAGGGCCTGCTGGGTCTCTGGGCACCATCCAAGGGCTGCCCCTTCCCCTGCAACAGCTCCACAACTTCTCAGGGTGGCTCAGCACCCCCAGGAATCCTTACATTCCCCAGCCATTCCTTCCTTCCTATAATTTCTGGATGAAGTGTTTGTTTCAAGAGTCAAATCCTGCTTCACCATTATGGAAGCTCCCAAAGCTCAGCAGCCAGGCAGATAAGGACCATCATGCTTCACCTCCAAATCAATACTGAGCATCTCAAAAGGAGCCTTGAACCAACCCCTGCCAAGGCAGAAGGCATCATGAGTTGCCTGTTGCAGAGAGCAGAGAAGTTGCTCTGTTCAGTCCTTCACCTGGGAAATTGTTTGCAGAGTGGAGCTGATGGAAAATAAAGGCTGCACGTTGCTGTTCCATGGTGAGGAACATGCATTTTGGCTGCAGTTTTACTGGTGTGTCCTCTGGTGAACCTCAGGGAGCAGTTTTCCATCAGCAATTAGTAGCCCCTGCCCAGTGAATGGGAACTGCATTTAGCTTCTGACTGAGAGGATCCCTGACTCCATCAGTCTCCCTCCACACCCCCACCAGGTCAAGAGCATCACACCAGGGCCACAGCTCCCTGGGCCATCACATCCTTCAGGCTGGAAAAGACCTCTAAGATCAGCAACCCAACACCACCGTGCCCACAAAACCATGGCTCAAAGGAGCAGAGCAGTGACAGAAACAGTGATTTTTGCTCAGCCCTTGGAGGTCTGGGTTTCCAGCAGAGGCTCCAGAGCTCCCAGACATTCCCTCTCTTGCTCCCACATGCCCAGACCTGCTCCAAGATGTGCTATTCCAGCTGTTTTGCTGAAACCACCAGCGTGGCAGATAAGCACTGAACGTCAGGCCCGGGGTTAGAGCCTGTCCTTTTGCCACTTCTCTGCCTGGACATGCAAACAAAAAAAAAAGCAGTTTGGAAAAGGTGGTGAAGGCAGGAAGCCTCAATTAGGAGCAGGTGTGAATCTAAGTGCTGAGGTTGGTGGTTAGTTGCCACTTGGAGCCTGCTCTGGAGAAGCTTTGGTCTCCCAGAGGTCCTGACCTTCCTGCTCCTCTCCAGGAAGGCAGGAACATTTTCCAGCAGCCCCTGGATGACACCCCCATGCAGGGGGAAGGGGCAGGATCCCTCACACACCCCTGGGAGGTCACCACAGTCCAAAATCCCCACCCCCAGAAAAAGGCCAATTGCAAAGTGGGAGCTGCTAATTTCTTCTCAGTGGTGGAATTCCAGCTGAATAAAGTCCTTTCTGCTCTGATTAATCGTCCCCCCTTGGTTATGAACAATGCAGAGCAAAATAGGGATCATATTCATGCTAGGAAAATGGGGAAGACCGTGGCCCAAACGCAGCCATGAGCTGAGCCCAAACAACCCAGGCTGGTCCTGAATGCATTAAAGTGGTGGAGGAAGTCCTGGGTGGAAAGAATGTCCCCTATTAGCCAAGCTCCCAGTGTCCTGGGTATGACAATAGCAGAGCAGTGCCTCTCTCCTCGCTGCCTGCTGCTGCCCTGGGTTCAGTTAAATGTCAGCTCAGCATCGACAACCTACAAATTACCCCAGGGCGTGAAGCTCTTTCAGTCCCACTGAACCCTATCAACTGGGAAATAATCGTGTGTCCCTCAGGCTGGCTGGGATGGAGGCACAGATCTGGTGGGATGGGACTGGGATGGCTGCCCTCCTGCTTTGGGGGGAGGGAGGAGGGAGCAGCCCCAGCCTGCCTGGAGCTCCCCCAGGAAACTCCAAGAGTTATCCCAGAGGGACCCAGAGAAGCAGCAGCTTCCCCAGCACAGACTCCAGTTCCCTGGCCAGCTGAAAAAAAAAGGGGGGGCAATGCAATATCCCTCTCCCAAAACCCTCAGGAATTCCATCCCCACATTTGCTCCCCCTGGCAGCACTGGAGCTGATCCAAGGCTCAGTCCCAGGAGGGGACAAAGCTGGAAAGCTTTTGGTTTTCCTTGCTCCCAAGACATTGGTTTGGTTTCTCTGGGGAATTTTGCTGCAGAAACCAGCCAATATGGGTAAAGTGGGAGCCAAAGGCAATTGTAGCTGTTTGCTTTCCTCCTGTGGGGGGTTGTGCTGGGAGCATAACCCCATTCCTGATGTTCCCAACCCCTGGCCAAGCAGTGGGGCAGGTAACAGAGACATGGTTGGAAGTCTTGGCCAAAAACCTGTTGAGTTTTTCTGCAGATGTGGAGTCTCCAAGATGGATCCAGCTGCTCCAGAGCCTCTGGTTTTGGTTACCTGAGGGTGTGTGAGGGGTCCTGGGGTGCCTGCTGTGCCCCCCAAGCTCACTCATAGAAATGCACAATTTGGAGCATCCCAGGGGACACCAGAGGCTCCAGGCAATAGCTGCTCTCATCAGGAAAGCAAAATATGCTGGCCAGGGCATTGATACCCTTATTTTGCCATTGTCCCTGGAAAAGGAGCCCTGCTGCTGGTTTTAAACTAATTAAGTTCCCTTTAAAGTAGGAAAATAAAAGGCACTTGGTTTACTGGGCAGCCTGGTAGCATTTTACAGTTGCCTCCAAAGCCCTGAACTTCTAACCACAAACCCCTCCTTGTGCTGCCCCCACCTCAAATCACCTTCAGGCAACGACCCCCACAGCAGGGAGGTCTTCCAACCACTTGAGAAGGGGCAGAGAGATCCAACTTTATTTTTAAAAGCTTGTTTTCAGCACACAACCTTCTGCTCCCTGGGCCTGTCTGCTCTCCCTGAGCCAGCCCCTCTCCTCACCCATTGTTCTCAGCTGTTTATTTGGTTTCAAAAGCTGGATTTTTAACTGATTACTAGTATTTCTTTCCCCCCACTTTTTTTTTTAGCAGAAGGGCAGACACAAAAGTGCTGAGCTCTCTCACTACTGCTCTGGAGTGTGTATATATATATATATATTTATATATCAGGCTGACCCTGACCTGTTCAGCCCTGTGTCCTGCACTCTGCCTTGCTCCAGGGCATGCAAAGGGATGATGGGGATGGCCACAGACTTGTTGTGTCATGGTGTCATCCATAGGGTTGAGATGTGCTGTCCCCAAGCAAGCCAGCTGGTTACTGGGATAAGGACCAGTCTCCCCATCTCTTCCCAAGACATGGAAGTGGCAGCTGGAGGCAAAATGGCAGGAGGAAGTCCTGGACTTTCCATTGCCAGTGGTGCCTGGCATGGGCAGGGTCAGAC